GAGTCCATTGTTAGAAGTGGCAACAATAGAAAGTTCCTTTGTTGCCCTTCATATAAAAAGCCCCAGTATTTTCAGAAAATGCCTTCAAGGATTTCAGCATTGTGTTAAGTAACATAGAACAGCAGTCCCCAGCATTTTTGGCTCCAGGTATCGGTTTCATGGAAGACAATTTTTCCACCAACCAGGACAGAGGTTCAGGGGGTGGGGTTGGTTTCAGGATGATTCAAATGCATTACATTTATTGTGCACTTTATTTCTAATTATTACATCAGCTCAATCTCAGATCATCAGTCATTATATCCCCAGAGGTTGGAGATCCCTGATATAGAAGATTCTGGAAAAGAAATAGTAAAAAAAATTGCCAAGATCCTTAATAGAAATAGCTCTGAGCCAATGTATGGTGTCGTCATACAAAAGGTGTCATGCCTTTTTGGCAATGAGTGGAAAGTTAGATACAGGATGAGTGAAGAGGAAAGAAAACAGCTAAGGGGATAAACGTATACACATTTCTCTGATGGTTGAAGCAAACATTCTAGCTGTTCGTGAAATATATTCCAAGACATAAAGCTTCTGACGCTTTCTGGACTAGAACACCAGACTCAAACAGGAAAGTGTTTGGCATATGCTGACAAAATGTGCCTTCAGCACTGTGGACTTGCTGTTCAGTTTAATGGCTCACCTCCCCACCCTGCTGAGGTCATTAAAGTGTTCTAAAGCCCCTTCAGAACTCAAAAATAGTTTCTGTTTGCTGGGCAGGTGATAAATCTCACCAAGTCTGACAGGAATTTAATTACACTTTCTTCACAAAAACACTAGGGATACCCATTACCTGGATCTCTAAAGCTAAAGGCTTGCAGACCCCCCACAGTTGAAAGGTTACAGACCCATAATAAGTTCTTCATCATATAAATGGATGGGAGGCCTCCTTAAGTGCAGCCAGCTTAAATTGGACCAAAGAAAAATTGGTCTTGGACTTTAGGAAAGGTAAGATCATTTTTCACTGCTGCTAAGAAATACCCAGGTCAGCTTGGCTCCATTAACATCTTATAGAAGATGAAAAAGAAGTTTGTTTTTGTTTTTGTTTTTTTGTAGACCTCCTTGCTCCACTCACTGAAGTGTTACAGAAGTAAGATGGAAGTGAGTATATTGTTGAACACCTGGAGGAGTAGCCAAAAAGAAGTCCCACAGGGAGCGGGGTACTGAACTAACCTCGCAGTTCTATGGCTTGCTGTAATGTTGAGCTCATTACCAGTTGGGTTAGAAAGAGGAGATTAAATGTAGACTTTTGCAGGAAACCCATGGGAAAGCTTCATTGGCCTGCTGTTTTCCTACTTACAGAGCTGTGCATTGCGGTGTAGCCTTTACTGTATCTTCTCTACCAGCCCTTCATCCAGACAGGCTGATGTCAAAACTAACCACATCTCTGGACCCTTCTTTCACAACCCGTGAACCTGACAAGATGCAAGCCAGGCTAGGGATACAGAGAAAGAGCCGGCAAACCAAATTTCACTTACCCTGGACCCAGTTCAGAATAAATCAGAGCTTCAGTTGCACCTAACTCGGAGTCAAAGAGAAATTTTACAAAATCCTCACGTCACCATGAGCCAGATACAGCCTCCTAGTTTGCCTGGGCCTAGAAAGGCTATCACATCAGGATTGTCACCTGGAGGAAATTCTCATTTGCCAATCCTTTTCTCCAAGATCGACCCCTGATATTTTCCATCTTGTGATTACACTGCTTATCTGATCTCTTGCTGCCTTCTACTGACCCTCATCTTAAAAAAAAAATTTCCCCTGTCAGATTGCTATTTCAACTCTCTCTCCCCCATGGAGATTTCACATTTATTGAAATCTTTGAAAATAACTGAATGTCACAAAATCAGGGTTGGGAAACAAATACTCAAGTTACAAAGGTATGTGGCTCTGGTACTGTTCCCAGTTCTCCTGAATATGATTGCATGAATATCATTCCATGGTACAAAATAATACGGGTTTGGAGTAGGCTCAAATGGCTCATACCTAGCACATGACTGGTAGCCAGGAAACATCCCAGGAGCTGCTTACTATGCCACATGATCTCTCATTTCCCTTGCATGTCTGCATGTTTTTTGTCTGATTTAAATTTGATTTTTGTGGGATTATTTTTGCATGCTCTTATTTGGATTTGTTTTCTGGTTTAAACATTGTTTTCTTCCTCCACATCTGTGTTTTTCTTTTTATTATTTTGTTTTGTTTTCACTAGGCGACCCCCTCCTGCAGTTCCTGGACGACCATCCTAATCCCCATCATTCATCTCCTTTTGTGTCTGACAACATGTCTATCTGTGGTATTTAAAAGCCTTTCATTTGCACTGTATGTCATATGTACATAAAAACTTTTATTTTTGATCCATGTCTATAATAAAAACAAAGTTTATTCTATATAAAAAAATGAAATGCATTCTGTTTCTTTTTCTAAAGAAGATCCAAGTTAAAATAGGAGTTTGTTTCAACTAAAACCAGGTAAGGTGAAAAATACATAATTTGACCTGTAAAGGAGCTTCAACTGGAAATGACTGATTTTAAGTTCTTAAAGCATTGTGATTTAGGATGATATTTGGTGGAGAATAGTAATCGATCTTCAGTTGAATTGTCTGTCCAATAAAAGAGTGAAAGATGAAGCAAAAATCTTGGGTGTCTAGAAAAGACACAGAGAACCGAATAAATTCAGTCTGCTCCCAGGAATCTCATTAATAATTATTATTGCACCAAGACATTTTGGAGGAGGGAAAGGGGACGTCAGAGGATGAGATGGTTGGATGGCATCATCGACTGGATGGATGTGAGTTTGAGCAAGCTCCGGGAGTTGGTGATGGACAGGGAAGCTTGGTGTGCTGCAGCCCATGGGGTCACAAAGAGTCGGACATGACTAAGCGACTGAACTGAACTGAAGACATTTTTTTCGTATTTTCATTGTTTTATAGGCGATAAAGTACATAAAATTATGCAAATAAAATATGTCAGGTTATGGGAGAAATTTTTGGTCTGAAACACGTAAACCTCGTATATTCTATTTGGCAAGTTCAGGGGAAAAAACACATCATTTGAGTAAAAGTACAAGGCAAAGAAATGATGCCACACTGAGAAGATTCCTCATGATGTCAGTAAAGTGCTGGAAGAACAAAATCTTTATGAGTTTTCAGGAAGAGAACTTTTTTTATACCTTAATCCTCGAATGATAATTTCAACACTGAAATTTTAAGCTATCTTTAAAAACAAATCCCGAAGACTTATCCAAATAAAATGATGATTATTAACACAATATTGACCGGGGGATTTTTGTAGAAACTAATATCTGTAGCTGGTGATTTGTTATATAAATGACTGTTGAAACACTCAGGACAATAATGCTTGGGTAACAAAAGATGAATTAATACATCTGTGGTCAATAAGTTGTTAAGGTAATATAGTTTATCCTGCCAAATATGTAATCTGAAGCCTTCCACTAAAGGCTTGAGATTTAAGTCAGAGTCTTCTTTTTGACTATTTATTTGGTCTACATTAGAATTTTAAAGTATCTCCTCTTGGATCACTTCTCCGTATGCCTCGCTTTAGCACATGAAGAAAGAAACCAGCTTATCTCTCAGGTGAAAATTTTCATCTTGCATGTTAACACATCAGTGTGTACTTGCATCACAGGTCCAGTGACTGAGAGTTAGAAGGGCTGGTGACTAAGGAAATTCAAAGCAGAGGGTCAACCAAAGCTCAGCTTTACCTCAGAGTGACTGAATTGATGCAGACTACTACACAGCTTGCAATCTGTTGCCCTTCCTTTCACCTCCAGTCCAGACATTTAACTTTTTAAATCAGTATTCTTATCGTGTAACATTCTCATTTGATAGCATTCTCATCCCAACAGACCCAGAGTTCCTGGGTTATATCACACCATCTCCCCAAATACAAACAGAGGTTGTCAACAGGAAGGTTTTCATCCATTCATTTCTTTTTTTAAGTGTTTGGTATTTTTCTACTGTCTTAAATTTGAACTTGTTTCTATGTATGATGGTACACCATTTAGATGTTTAAAAACTTAGATTGAACTAATGACCATGAGAACGTAAAGCTTAAGTCATAGTTGAATGAAATGATTCCCTGGCAATCCTAATCCATCTCTTCAACCAACAGGTATGGCCCCATCCTCACATTAGACTGGTGAGAAGAAAGGGGACTGACGGGATAGGGCAGTGGGGGTGGGAAGAAGCCTGGAGTAAAATTAAACTATTTAGAGGTGTGTTCATATTTCTTTATTGTTCATACCATTTCTGTGTTTTATAGTATACCCTTGCTCAGCTCTCCCCCCCTCCTCACCCCTCAATATTGGATAGAGAGCTGAAGAAGTACAGTTCTTCAGAGGTGATTCAGGATCTTTGGGAGAAATAAACTATTATATCTTTAATAAATATTCCTAAGTATTCCCATCCCTTTATTTATGTATCAAACATTTCTTGAATTCATGAGAATGTTCTAGTTACTGGGAATACCAGAGAAGTTAATAGGATAAAAGTAGCTGACAAAATAGGTAAATAAGAAATTCCAATATAAACTATGACAGGAGAAATTTTCGGACCTTTTTCCAGGGAGAACTGTTACTGACTTCCATGCTAAAGCAACTATTTGAATCCTAGAACCAGATTATCCACTTGACCCAAAGCCTGCTAGCATTCTAGAATGTGGTGATTTTGACCTCTGACAAAGAAATAACAGAACTCATTTCAGCCAATGAGAAAACAAACTTTTCATTTCTCATGGAATAGTATAATAGAAGACTCTAAATCACATAAGTGTGGGTTGAGAAAGACATAGTGGGATTGAAACTGAAGCAGTCTGTTGTTAACTTTGCTTTGGCTTCTAACAAGAAGGCTTTAGATTCAGAAGGTGTCCTGCATTGGTCTTCCACTGGACACAGTGAGAGGAGTGAGAGTCCTCCAGCCTCTAGCTAGAAACTCCCAGACCACGCAAGAGATGGAGAAAAGAGAACTAAAGGTAGGAAAAATTTAAAAAAACAAACAAAACAAAACAAAAAAAACTTGCCATACTCTCCTTAGAGATTTCCACTGGTAAATATATGTCTGTAAGCCTTGGCAGCCACATGTACACTGAAGCATTTTTCAGCAAACGTCCTCTAAGTTGAGAGCCAAGAGGAGATAAGGAGATAACCTCAGCTGTTCACATACAAACATGGACACCTTCAGTGGGTTTGGAGCTTGGACCCTTCAGTCCCCTTCATCCCTGAGTTTGAAAAATACTGTACTTGTCAACATCTGTTTTATAACTCAGCACTAAGTATGATTTTTTTTTAAAACTCAGAAAATTGATATTAGAATCTTTAGTCCAGTTCCATAAGATTCTGAAATAAATCTTTGCAACTGTGAATCCATTTCAAAGACATGAACCTCATCCACAGAGAGAAAAGATTGCTAAAAAAGAAGAAAACCTCTATAGCCTTTTATAATCCTACAGAATCTATATCTGAATAAATCAGATAGAGCTCAAATGCTACCACACCCCTGTATGTTCCTCATTTAAATGGACACACTAGCTGCCTTCATTACCATAATATACACCTGTTTTTTTAAAAAAAACTTTTTATTTTGTATTGGGATAAAACCAATTAACAATGTTGTGATAGTGTCAGGTGACCAGCACAGGGACTCAGTCATACACATACGTGTATCCATTCTCCCCCAAACTTCCATCCTATCCAGGCTACCGCATAACATTGAGCAGAGTTCCTTGTGCTATACTGTAGATACTTGTTGGCTCTCCATTTTAAATATAGCAGTGTGTACATGTCCAACCCAAACTCCTTAATTATCCCTTCCTCCCATCCTTCCCCCCAATACGTTCATTCTCTAAGTCTTTGAGCCTCTTTTCTGTTTTGTAAGTAAGTCATTTGAATATATATCTGTATTTTGATTTTTGTTTTTTTAATTACTGTAAATTACTATCAGATCGCAGTACTGTCAACATTTAAGATCAGATTAGGTGGTAGGCTGTTGGATGAGTCAAGGCTATAAACTGCTACTCTCATGGTGTTTTTAATCAAATCACATTTTACAGTGCTTCTTATCAGGTCTTGACTCTCACCACAATTCACATCTTCAGTGATCTTCTTGAGCGGGCACTGAGTAAAGACAGTCTTAACAAGCCCCAGAGTTCAAAGAGACTTACGGATCCTCAAGACAGTAACACTGAAGTGGGTCCTCCCTCTCAAAACAGCTGCTAACAAAGGATATTTTTGAAGCTCCATATAACACAATGGAAAAACAAGTCTTTCAGATTCTTAAGGGTTTCTTTTCATCCTCCTCTCTGTGACTGTATTTTAGAGGCAGCAAAGAGAAGTTAGTGCCAGGGAGACTGTTCCTTCCTCCTGCTGCTTTTTTCTCTTGTAAAGACAGAAACACATTCAGCCTCAAATACAAAAGCTGCCTGGGGCCTAAAGATCTGTTTATTTTGCAATTTAGAAAGAGCAGGAGACCCACAGTGTTCTCCCTGACCAGAGTCCAAATGTTCTTGGGTTCTGCAAAAGGCCCTGGGGCCGTCCTGTAAGTGAGCTGGGGAAAAGCAGAAGCAGCCTGCCTTAGCTGGGGAAAGCTAGCTTTTCAGGGGCCTGAGGGGACAAGTACCCCTTAACCTCAGCTCTGGTAAATGTGCTCCACCATCCCTGCAAAAGTACAGTCAAGGGACTGGAGAGCTAGTCTGTTAGGGCACAAGATCTCGCTCAGGCTGATCCTGAAACCCAGGTGCCAGCCGCTGCTGGATGATGACAGAAAAGGCTTTCTAGCCTCTTCATGCCTTTCTAGGCCTTTTATGCCTTTCTAAGGCTCTTCCTCAGACACTCTTTCCCCTCTGTCATCCTACAGTGAGATGGCACCTGTGCCTGGTGTTGCTGGCCCCTTGGTGCCCAGCAGATGTTGGCCTGTGGGGAAGCAGAGCCTCCCTTATCTCTGGGGAGTCTTCCTGTTAATCACAGTAACAGAACTGGGAAGAAAAGGGCTTTTTGATTTGGCTGGTGATTGCTGTTGTTCCCCAAGTAAATGAGCCAAAGTTAATTGCACCTGTGAGCTGTAAAAGCCTAAGCCAAAAGCAGTGGGCTGGTAAGCTAGCTCATTTCTACAGAACCTCAGGCATTTCTCCTCCGCCTCTTGCTGCAGCTAAGCTGGCCAGAGCCCTGTCAGTGGTGCGAGGAGCCGCCCTCCTCAGTCCTGATGGTTCCGAGGACCTTGGTCAAACCCTGGCTCTCACTTCAGCCCTGATCATTTTCCCCAAAATCAAGTTTTCTCTAGAAATGGCATGGCCCCACTATTGAAAGTTTGCATGGTTCTCAGGAAATCAGCCATTAGCTCCCCACAAGGCTCTTGTCCATATGTTCATTTATCTACCAACCTTCAGTTCTTTCTCCCTTATCTCCTGATGATTTTAGCTCCTGTTTCACTGTCATTCTCCTGTCTCAATTCTTGGGGATTTCCACCTACCTGTAGGTACTCCTTCCAACACCCCACTCCCATCTCACTCCTCATTTCCTTGGACTTCACTCCTGCAATGTCGTTGCCCTCCCCCCACCTCAGCTATTCACTTCCAAAGTCACAACCTTGTCTTTATCTTTTCTCTGGGCTTTACTTCCTGGCTTTCAAACCCCTTGAACTTTGCCCTGTCCTTCATCTCCCTGTTTTTCACCCTTCTTGAGGTTCATTCTCCTTCTTACTCAATTTAAATTCCATGGCCAATCATTATAATCATGCCCATGTATAATTACTGTTCTCCCTTGCCCTTCTCTCAATCTGATTAATTCAGATTGGCTAAATTCAACGCCCCATCTGTTCTAGTTTGCACTCATGTAGCTGTCCAGGGTCAGCAAAACACAAAGACGCACACACACACACACACACACACACACACACACACAAGCAACTTCACTTTAAATTCATGACTACCAGTCTCAAGTGAGCCCTTCCTTACTTCTGCTGGGCATTTATACTAAGCATCCCTAGTTCATCCACTCCCCCAGTGTCCCAAACTCTTTCATATCCCCTCATTCCATCAGTTCCCCTCACTCTCACATCTCAGCTGATTCTTTGCCTCCTACTTCCCTGAGAAAATTGAAGCAATCACCTCATCTATCCACTAGCCATCTACCCACTTACCTGCATCTGTATCTACACATTGTGCCTTCCCACTTGTTCCCAGAGACCAACTCTTCGCTTCTTAAAGCCAGTCCCTCCCCTGTGCAGTAGATCCCATCACCTCTCACTTGCTCAAGAACATGACCTCAACAGTTAATTCTCCCCTTTCTCACATCAACTATTACTTTCTACTGTTTTATTTCCATCAATATACAAACATTCTCCCATCTTAAAAAAAAACATTTCCTTGCCCTCACCTCCCCTTTCAGTTTCTGTCCTATTTCCTAGTTCCCTTTTGATGCAAAACTTCCAGAGAGTTGCCTGTACTTGTTGATCCAATTTCTCTTCTCTTGTTCTCTTAAACTCACTTCAAATAGGTTTCTATTCTCACCACTACACACACACACACACACACACACACACATATATATATTATTTTAAGGGACACCAATCACCTCTTCCTTGCTAAATCCAATGATCAGTCTTTGCTTTCTTGGTTTTTCAGATTTTGATCTATTCACAGTTGACCATCCCCTCTTCCTGAATCGTTTGCAGTTGGTTTCCAGGATTCTAAACTCTTGATCTTCCTCCTGCCTCAGTGGTTGTGCTTTCCAGATCTTTTTGTTTATTCTTCTCTCCAACATTTTACTTTGCATTTCTTAGTCCTCTTCTATATGAAATTCCTTCCTAGTGATGTCATCCAGTCACATAGCATTAAATGCCATGTATATACCAGCAAATCTTAAATTTATATCTCCATCCCATACATTGCTCCTGAAATTCAAACTCATATCCCCAGCTCCTTACTCAGCATTTCATCTTGGGTGTCTACTTTTCATACATGTCTACATGCCCCAAACTGAACTCATGATTCTCTTCCCCAGAATCTTTACCCAGATCTCCTGGGTCCCCATCTCAATGTATGCCATCTCCATCTTTCAATTTGCTCAGGCCAAAAACCTCGAGTCATTTATGATTCTTCTCTTGTGTTCATGCCCTCCATCTAGTATATTAGGAAGCTCTTGACTCTACTTGCAAACTATATCCAGAAGGTGACTTTTCCACCACTTCTCTGCTATCACTGTGGTCTGTGGCACCATCATATCCCCTGCTTGGATTAATATCAGAGCCTCCTCTAATGCTTTCTGCTTCTACTCTTGCCCCACAGCATCCCGAATGAGCCTAGCCTCCCACATTCCCTTTCTGGCCTCCTCTTCTGCTCTCCTTGTTCACTTCATTTCAGCCACTCTGGCTATTCCCCAAACATGTCATGCCTTCTTCTGCCTCTGCAACGGCTCCTCCCTCTGCCTGGAATGCTCTTCCCCTGAGATCCTGGATAGCTCCCTCACTTCCTTCCAAACTTTTGGTTAAATGTTACCTTTTCTGTGAGACCTACCCTGACCCCCTAATTGAATTCCATTGCTGCTTTTTCCTTTTTTGTTCAATAACATTTGTTACCTTCTGCTTATGTTTATCATCTGTCTCCTCTTGCTAGAATGTATGCTTCATTAGTTCAAGGAACTTTGTCTGTTTTACTCCTATGTAGGTGTATCTCAAGCAGACAGAACAAGCGGTATCTGTCATATAGTTAGTGTTCAGTATTTGTTGAATGAATACATTTCTAGGGTTAAATATCATAAAATGTGAATGGTAGAAAGTGAGTAGAGGTGGGCCTAGGTGGACAATAAATGTTTTAATAAATAGATATTGGGGAAAAAGAATAAGGGATTAAGAGGGACTTGATAAAGCATTAAAAGCAACCGCCTACCAGTTAGCCCTGGATGCATTTCAAGACTTACATTGAATTTCATTATAAAAAGGAGTATCAATAACTTCCACAAGATGGCACCATGTCCCAGG